CTTTGCTCCTGTCACAACTCCCGGGCACGTTTGGAGCCCTGCCCGCCTGGCCCGCCGCCCGACCGGGCCGCTCCCGCCACCACCGCCACCACCATCCTTCTTCTCCCCCCTCCCCGCCGCCCGGGCTGCGCGCAGGCAGGGCGGCCGCGGGGCTCCCCGGCATCCCCCACCGAACCGAACCGTGCCCAGCCGGAGCGCGGTGAGCCGGGCCAGGGTGTGTGTGAGTGTGTGTAGGTGTGTGTGTGTTACACGGAGGTGGGTGCCCGGCCGTGGCGGGGCCCACGGGGTCTCTCCGTGGCGGGACGGTGCTGCGGGGCCTGGGGGCTCCGGGGTGTCGGAGGGGGCCCGGCGGCGGGGCTGGAGCCGCGGGGCTGAGAACGGGCTGGTTTATTTCACCTCCGGTAACTTTACTGTGGCGGCTGCAACGTGTTGGTGCCCTCAGACGTGAGGGCTTCTCGGTGGCCTCTCCCGGCTGAGGCGCATCCCTAAAATGGGTGCATCCCCTCAGCTGCCCCTCAGCACCCCCTGCCCCTGTGACACGCGACCAGCAAGGGACTGGGACCCACCGGTACCTCGGTTTTGTGTTAAGGTAGATTTGGATTTGTGGTTTCAAATTCCTGCTGCTTGAGGGCCTGGATGTGAATTCGGAATGTTATTTTTATTTTTGATTTTATTTTATTTTTTTTCCACGAAGAGGAGTGTTTGTAAACTAATCGAAGGTATTTGCAGGGAGATTTTTATAAGGCTGTTGTTTTCGTGTGCGTGTTAAAAGTTGACCTACTAAGAGGCACGGGGGAAGTCAGGTATAGCCCTAGCTGGGATATGAAGCGGCATGTAGAGGCGGAGTGGCTGATCATAGATCCTGATCCTCTAAATCCTTCCAAGTAAGTATCTTTTTTTTGATGACATAGTTTGACAAGCGGGGCTTTTGGTGGCAGCGTTGACTTCAACGGGCCTGTCTGTGCCTTCCTTGCTCCCAGCCCCTCACCTCCTGGCTGCCCCCCTCAGCACAACGCTTCTTGGAACCCTGGCCCCTAACTGGGTTGGGGAAATGAGCCAGGTTAAAATTAACTACCTTTTTTTTTTTTTTTTTTTTTTTCAAATGTGGTTATATTTAACTTAGCGCATTTCTCTGGGTGACAGGTGTGCCAGAAGGCAAGAGGATTGTTTTAAGCAAATACTCTAGTGGGAGAAGGACTTGAGAAAAATACACCTCAACTGTGGTAGTCCTGGCAATGTTCAGCGCGAGCAGTTGCTGTTGTTTCACACTGTTCAATCTCACAGGAATAAAATTGATTTTTGTCTATGAATACCTGCGGGTAGACAGTATTTGACTGTTATAATAGAGGAATTCAACTTGTCAGGACAAATAACTCTGCAGTTATTTTTATTAATAAAACATTGATAACTTTCTCCAAAGTGTTACAGACGCTGCTTTCAGACTGCCAAGCATTCCGTGTTTGGGTTAGAGATTTTTGGTTGAATGTGGGTGCTAGCATTTTTAAGGTCTGACAATTTTGCTGGCAAGGCAAGAGTTACCTCTTCGTAACAAACAGTCCAAACAGGAAAAAAAAAAACGCAACTCCTGAGTTGATATTTAATAGTTGAAGGTGTTGTTCAGCCATGCCTTTTGTTTTTTATTTCTTCCGCTTTGTGTTCCTACATAGAAAAGTTTAACACGTATAGGTCAGATAAAAGGATGTGAGGAAAGCAGAGAATGTTTTCTCTATTAATGCTCTAAGGACCCAATAAACTCTCAGTTGTAGCTAATTTAACACTTTTTGTACTTGGCAGTTTAAAAACCGAGTGGTAATTACTTCAAATTTATTTTGTAGTGTTGGTTAATTATCTTGTTAGTATGGAATTTTACCGAAAACATGGCAAGACCAATCCATCCATGAAGATTCAAGGAAATTGCTGCTTTTGAGAGCTTTGGGCTTTTGCTGGTTTTTTTGGCCCTATTCTAAATTTGTGCAAAAAGTTGAAGATCTAAACTAGTAGTAGAGATATTGGCCCCCATGCTTCTAACATGTTCTTTATACGAAATGTTTTTATCAACTTGAAAAGTTGTGTGGTTTTTTTTTTTTAATAAAAATAGTAGACTTTTTGTTGAAAATAGTTGTGAATGAAAAAGGCAATTTTCTCCTATAGGAAATTTCATCATTTGAAAACAGCTCCTTTTTCAGCTATGCACCCCTTCAGGAGAGATGTATAATTTGCTGTCTGAAGCCTCACAGCTTCAGCCTAATTTTGTAGATTGAAGAATATAGATAGTTCTCCTCTTAGAATAGAAAATTAGTACTCTAATACAGTTTTTAATACAAAACACTCAATATAATTAGGAAGTAGTGGAATTACAGCTAAGGTGCCTTCCTTCTCATCACATTGTAATGAGTTTGTTTTTCTTGAGGAGAAGACTTTGGTAGATATTTGAAGGAAAGGAAAGTGCATTTTAGGGGTTCTAGCCTTTTTAAAGTACTCATTTCCACACGAACGCTGGAAATTATAAAGGCCAGATGTTAAAGCAGATCTAGCAATGTTTCTGAGGATAGATGGTATTAGCAGATAGTTGCGTAGCAAAGACATTAGTAGCTGTTCCTGCCATTCTTGCCTTCTATTTATTTATTTTGCAATGTATTTTTAACCTTTCTATGTTAATTGAGCTGGTTCACCCGGTAGAAAGCTCTGCTGGCACCAGTGAAGGGGTGGCACGAGAAGAGGAGAGAGTCGCCAGGCTGCTGGGGAAGCAGTAGCTGCTTTAAGGTAGCTTAGTCTCTGCAAGGGAAAAAAAACCTCTGTCTGTAGTCTCACAGATGTGTGGCCAAACCATTCCACTGCCTCTCTCACCTTCTACTAATTCTGAATTATGAGTAGTGGTGTTGGTTTCATTGTTTTGAATTTAGTGGTCTTTCAGAATAGAAGGTGTAGGGAGCACAGCTTCAGCTTAGCAGGGTCTGAAAGGAAAGATTCCTGTGTCTCCACGTAACTCTGGCACAAGCAAACTTGGCCATCTCCATTGGGAAGGCACCTCATTCACTGCTGTGGGTGGCCCACCCGGGGAAAACAGCTTACTATTGCAGCTGGTTATTTTATTAACTCAGTTAATGGTGGTGGCCTGTAATGATTTGAAACTGTCGGACATTCCCCTGCTGGTTTGTTGCGGGAGTGAAAGATGTGAAATGCAAAATCACGGAAGAGGAAGGAGACTCATGGTTAATGCAACTGTGTGCTGCCCTCAAGGATTGAATTCTCAACCCCTACTGCTGCCACAGAATTCCTTTGTAATGCAAAAGCCACTTTAATTTTGGCATACTTCATGCCTGAGTGTTTAATTTTATAGCCTTAATATTCTCTTGCCATACTTTTTGTGTATAATATAAATTCTTAATTATAGCTGCTTTCAGAATATGTAATAATATATGTAAAAAGTTGCAGTGCTCTGCGGTTGTCATATATTTAATATTATGTGGAAGCAACAAGGTTTCTCAGAATCTTTCAGTAGCTCAGTGTTGCGCACTTTGGACTCTTTCCAACTGTTACATTTTGTCATTAAAATCACTGAATTACTTTTCTTATTCTGCACTGATGTTCTGAGGGGCAATGCTGAGTATATTATAAAATTATCATTAGTAATATTAATATTTTATTAAATATAGATCCTCAAAAATTAGATATACCCATGAGATTCAAGACTGATAAAAACTTCTATTTAGAAAGTGAATCTTAGTAGCTTAGCGGATACTATGGGCATTCCTCATCTTCGTTATAAAAGTGTAGCCAAATTAGGCTACTTAAATGCTTTGTTCTTATAACTATGTGTTTAATGATCTCGGAGTACTTGAGAAAGAATTAGCTTCAACACTCAAGCTACTTTGCCCATAATGACAGACTGGTACCACGAGATAAATGGTGCTAAAATATTATGCTTATGTTAAAATAGAAGACGACAGTTCCTGGAGTAAGACAGATCCATTTAAAGTGGATTTTAAAAATAAATATATTTGGCTTTGCTCTTCTATAGAGATCCTTTTAGAGTTCCATTAAAAAGATATTTGCAGGTATCTCTGAAAAGGCTTTTGATGTATGTTATTTTGGTATATGACCAGATCCATAAAATAATATGGAAGATCAAAACCGTGATTTAGATGGATTTTGGGTGTCTAGCACCAAATAAAATTGTAGCCATGTGTTGGCTGAAATTTACAGGCCTCTAGGTTTTCACTAGTAAAGTTTCCAAACACCTTGAAATTGTGTTCTCACCCTGATCTTCCATAATCTTGTCACAACTGAGCATCTTGGCATCTAAATCTGTTTACTATTCATAAATTGGGCAATCTGTAAATTAGGCATTCACTTGTCCAAAGGCATGTTCAAACCACACCTCAGGCACACCTATGGGATTGGACTCAGACCAAAACCCTGTGGTGACTCTCCCTTTTGTTCGGAAACACAAAGAGGAGGAGGAGGAAGAGGTTTTGTTGATGTCTCCTTAAAAAGCAAACAAACAAGCAGCCAGCAAAACCCCAAGCCCTAAAAAACCACTTTTGTGTGTGTATAAGATGATTAAAGTCTAATTGGGCCAAAAAGAGATACTAGGCCGCTTATTTTCTTGGAGAAAAAGCAGGGGAATGTCTGTGTTCCAAATTTTTTTATTTGCTTCCATTTAAAATTTTAAATACCATTAGGAACTGGAAACCAGGACTCGTCTCTGTCATTTGGGTGCCCTTCTCCCTAGAAAGGCATGCACTGGTTCTGAACCAGCAGACTGCTGGTTCTGCTGTGTCCAGCAAAGCTTTTTATTTTT